TATTTTTTCCCATCAATTTCTTCATTTAGCCATCCCCATCAGCCAGTCATACAACGTACAATGCAGAAGCTGCGAAGAAGAAGAAGAAACCAATAGTGCAACAAAATGCTAAACCGGGTAATGAGTTTTTTCTAAGGCTGTTCTCTTTCAGTCGTCTCAGGAGAAAGGGAAAAGCATGATGTAAACGTTTTTTTAGCCCCTGAGTTCGATTTTAAGACTACAGTTTCACACAGTAATGCTGCTAACTTTGGTACAATGGCTAAGATCGTCGATTACATGAAGGTAGTCCACTTCACTTGTTTTTGTTTCTGTTCATCAAGCATGTAACTCGTCGAATTTCATGAATGGCCCTAATGTACAGTCATGATCCCTGTAAAGGATAGGGCGTCTGACGGAGGCATGGCCTGGAGCGCAGCCAGTCAGATTCCCCACAAGTTATAGCAGGCTCAAGATGGCACCAGGATGTGGAAAAACAGCGCTCTGGCTGGTTCCATTACACCCCGCGCCACACGCCATATCGCTAACAGCAGTCATGACTGTAACTGGAGGTTTCACGCGTCGCAGCGTTCATACTTTGCGATTCGGGAGAATCAGTGTTGTAGGACAACCAGCGTTCAGAGCGAAAAGGATAGTACAGGTATAGATTGGCGCCCAAAACGCCGTTTCGTTAAATACACCGATTCTTCAAAACGCCAGATCGGGTACTTATACTTTCCTTTTTCGCCGAATGTTTCCAAATTGGCTAAAAGAGATTTGTTAATTCCTGGTACCAGTAGGATTTAATTCCCTATAGTTGGCGAGGAACGGAGAATTAGCTTAATGTTTTGTTTCAAGAAACGACATCTAAGCCAACAACAATGGCCGTTGTCATTGCAAGAAATTTTGGATGAGCTGCAAGTGTACGATTTGCCAAAAAGGTCAGAGGCTTGGTTAAAAGAGGTAGAGTTTTAATTTTTTTTTGTTTACCGTTTGCATATCGTATCATAAAAAGGCGCAGTCCAGCTTCAGAGAAGACATCTGCACCTTAGCTGCCTTCCCATTCAAAAAATCGTTCGTTACAAGAGTTGACAAGCAGTTTCTATAAACTTTGACTAGTCTGGCTTCACGATATTTTACCAGTCACTACTTGACGGCTCTTAGCGACAAGTAGCGAAAGTGTAAAATGCCCCCTCCCCTTCGCTAAACTGCTCCCAATTTTTCATATATGTATATTCTTTGGGAGGGGGCTTTTGTGTGTGTTCTTCTTCTGTTTATCTAACAACAGAAGGCTAATGATAGCTTCCGATTCCAGTGGAGTAGTTCTGAGCATTTCAGGCCCTTCCGAAGAATCCTAGGTTAACATGCGATGAAGAGGCAAAATTCTGTTACAAACCTCCGTACAAGATCAAGGGCAAAACGTCTCTGGTTAGTCTACCAATTTATTTTTTTTATTTCCCCTTGTTTTTTTTCGAAGTTCATTCATTTCTTGAAGCACTATTTTTTTTTGGAAATGGACATTTTGGTTCATCAGTTGCGGGGTACCGTAATTTGCATTTTGGGGCAAGAGTCTTTCGAAAGCTAGAAATGTCGAACGGGGCTTGTTGCATGCATGGTCCCCATTCATTAGGTTTGCAACGTTGTCTTTCAAATTTGTCCTGTCAGAACGCAGAAAACTTTTCACTCTCTTGGCTCAAAAATACGTAAGGACGCTACGTGCAGATGTCGAGGGTGATGCCCGCCCACCATCCTGTACTCGCCCAATGTTCGTTTCTAAAGGCTTCTAGTGTGGTGCAGTGTTTCACTACAGACCCTCTGCATTTCGTATGGTTAAAGTGAATTGATAAGGGAAGGGGGCTGGTATTGTTATGATGCCAATGAATGAGAATCCTTCCAAGCACACCCTCTTTTCGCCTCATGCTCAGTTCAACATGGGGTCCACAGCATTTCCGAGGGTTTTTCCCTTCTTTATCCGCTAATGGGTTGACTAACACCTTATCTTAAGTAGCTGAGCCCCTGTAACGACGTTTCTGATAGCAGGACGTCCCTCCAAGGAGAACACGAAGAAGGGTTGTGGACGGGGGGAGGGGGATGACGAGTTTCTTCCTTAACCTAGGCAAAGAGCTGCGGCGTGGACGAGCTGGGTCCTCACGACAGGAAGAGTTTCCCCTTCTGCGAGAAGTGAAAATTCGAAATTATCTGACACACTCTTCTGCACGTTTGTATTTAGCAAATATTTGGCGCGGTTTTCGCTGCCTAGGACGATTTTTTGCAAGATCCCCCCTTATTCTAATGTTGACATTCTGGGCATGTTACCATACCGTTTTCTTAGCGGGCAAATACATAGCTCTTTAAAATTAATGGTTCAGATAATCTCACCTCTTTATAAAATCGAATATTAATCAGGATTGTCTAAATCTTTCTGCTCAATTATCGTCGAATTTCAGGTAGCAGTAGCCAAAAAGCATCATCAAGATGTCCGTGGCGGCATTTTGTTGTCGGAATTGAACGATTGCATTCCGAACGGAGAAAAGGTTTTAGAGGTGAGAGAATACGTGTATGACCTTCAGTAAATGTCATGGTATGATATAGCCACGGCGCTTGTGTCATTTCATGGTGAAACATCAATCCAAAGGTCATCAAAAGCGATTGTCTGACAGCGCTGGCCGTAGAGCGATAAACTTTGAATAAAAGAGTCTTTCAAACGTCAATCGAGGGGAGCAATCGGGTTACTTCTTCATTACGAAGGAAAACTGTTAAATCAAATATGAACAAGCTTTTGCTGAAAAAATTTTGTTGTAATAGATAGCGCAGTCGACTGGTAAGCATGAGCTGCGGGATCATGCCTGCCCGAGGTTAAGAATTTTGCCCTCTCTTAATCGTCCTCAATCTCTGGCTGCGAAATGCGGGCCCATATGTTTCCAGGGGACTTCTGAGTGGCCATCCAGATCACGTACCCATTCGGTCATTGTATGTACGGTAGCTGATCGTTCCGATTTAATTCTGCCTATTACGATGAATGATTTATGATTGCGTCATTACTCTTGGTCTTCAACAGCCGGATGGCTTTTTTCCCCAAACTGACCGAGTTTTCCCAGCTATAATTCAACTATTCATCGACTTGTGGCAGTTATTACGGTGCTAAATCATTGTTGAAGA